TTTAAATTAATCTATATTTTTTTCTTTTAAAATTTACAGAATATTCTCTCATAGCTTGTTGGTTGGAAAAGAAAATGACTTTTAGAAATTATTGCCAATATTGTTTTCTAAAATGATAAATAAGTAATGAAGGTGTATTTCCAAAAACGAGAGCATTCATTGTATTTTATGCTATCGATAATGATATAAAATTCATAGAATAATTTAGTTTCTCCTTGTGTAATATTTTCTAGAATCAAACTTCTGTTAGTTTTCCCATTTCATTAGAATCACATTTGAATTTTCTACTATATTAAATCCATGAGCAGCTCCTTGCTTTAATTGCTCTGACTTCAAGGCCATATTTTCTAAAAAAAGTCAAAAGGCACTATGAACTATTTTGAAAAAAGTACAATGTTTCAATATAGATTTGAGAGGATCTCTTCTGAAGCTAGAAACAATCTACAGTTACCATCAACTTCATTAATACTATTACCTCTTAGACTATCCAAATAGTAACCTTTTAAATTTTCCAGTGGAAGCTAATTATGGTAGACATTTTTATCCACTCTATACTCAGTCAAGTAAAGTTTCTATATATTCCCTGTGGAAATGTAACTCTGTGAGTTTCAGAAATCCTCAAGTGTTCAAAGATTTCTGCTTTTGTTTCTTTTGGATGTCTTGGAACCTTATTAACAACTGTGAATATAAAAAATACAAAAGAAAACAATAACAAAGCCCTCTATACCTAAATGTCCAGCACAGTTCATTGTTTAAACACACACACACACACACACACACACACACACACACACAGCCAAACCTCAAACTACTGTATTTCAATATCTGTACTGAAAGCAATGCATTGTGACTATTAAGTGTTGCGCGTCATTCATTCACTGTATAGTAACTATGGACTAAAGGGATTTGTCTATGTTTTCTTTTGGTAGTTGTATATATCAGGAAAAATTTTTTTCCAAAGAGCCATGTGTCATATAATATTGAACCACTTTGGTATTGAGATTAATTTGTACCCTTGTTACTACTTACTAGTAAATAATATAGTACTATATAGAATAGTGCTCTAATTCTCTTTAAAATTATTGCATCCCTTTTATAGAATGTTTATATTTACACAGGCATAAGTATTCTATTCTCCCTTCTACCCTAGGATGAAGCTGTTTGTGTGCTTTTTCTTTATCATTGGCCCTTCATTCCAAGCACTTTACGTTGTCTGTAATGGGATCTATTTTTGCACTGGAATATCTGAGAATTGCAAAACTAGACAGAGTTTCACAATAGATTTCTAAGTTAAATCATTTTCATTAAAAGGAAAAACAAAGAAAAAAAATTTGTACTGTCTATAACTTTATATGAAGTATTAAAGGCATATTTCTGTGTTGTAATGAGTCACAAAATAAAGCTGTGACGGTTCTGTTGGTCTATACAAATTTATTTCCGTGCATTCGTAGCACCACCTACTGTTAAAGCAATTTGGCTCAAACGAGAAATTTTGGAAAAGGCCTATGTCCTGTTAATCACAAAAGAGAACTGAGGGGACTACTTGAAAATTTTAAAAAGGGTGTTTTGCACTTTCATGATTCAGTGAAGAAAGTCACTGAGATTAAATACGTTTAAAAGGTTTTTAGATAACTCATTCTGCTTAATGATTATGAAGCTGTGGTCTCTGAAAATCCTCTGTTACTAAGCTTATTTAATAAAAACCTCTTTTCTTCACTTGGTTTTGAGGAAGCTACAAAGGCAGACTTTGGTGCTCTTTAGTTTGTTTATTCAACCAAAGTACAAGGACACAGTGTGGCAAGTGTACCAGCGAGGTGCCGGGCAGGTGGCGGGGTGAGCATGCAGGGGAAGGGGAGTGGGTGGGAGGTACTGCTGAGCCCGGTATCAGAGCCGCCTTCCCTCCTGCAAACAGTGCGGTGCAACCTACCACCCAAGACTGGAGTAGTGTGGAGAGCCATGTGGTTGCATTTCCACAGCTCGTGAACAATCCGAGTCTCAGAAACAATGCCTGTTGATTTTGGTACCGGAAGAACACCTGTCAGACACCCTAGCAGGCAGCACATGGGTCGTGGCTCTATCTGCGACCTCTTTGAACAGCCATGACATCGTGGAACGAGCCGTCCTTGGCAAAGGCACGGATCTGTGTGACCACTCAAGCATCAGCATCACCACTTTGTCTTCCCCCTTGAGGGTCACATTACAGCGACTTTAATGAAATGGATAGAAAACTGTGAAAAAATGACAGTGGAGGGAGAGGAACAAAATATTGAAAAATGGAGAGTTGAGATGAAAATGTTACCCATGAGTCTGACCAAAGCATTCTCTTATCTAGAGAAAAGCCAATATAAATATTTACAGATTGAAAAAAAAAAACCTTGAACCTTTGGAATGCTAATGAATACCTTAAATGTAAAAACTGTAAGAGAAAATTACCTTTTCCAAGGGTTTATTGCGTTGTCAGGCACCTTATTTAATCCTCAACTGATACCCGCCCTATGGGGTAAGTAGCACCATCTGACATCTGAACACATTGTGGCTCAGACGATAAGGAACTTGTCCAAACTTATTCAGTTAATAACCAGCAGAAGGTTCTTTTTGGCAAAATTGGCTATCAGTTAAAATTATCCTGGTCAGTACAGCATCATTATATGATAATCCAACAAATATTTATTGAACTCTGTTGGTGTCAGATACTTTTCTAGGTTAGGGGTTCAGTGTTGAAGAAGCCAGAATTCCTGTTCTAATGATTTTAAACTTCAGATGAGAAATTAGATTCACCTTCACGGTGGATGTGGACAAATACAATGAGTTCAGACAGCAGTGAGTACCGAGACGAAACATGGTAACAGGATAACGATGGAGAATCAGAGAGGGCCCCCTTGTGAGGAGTGACATTTAAGCTCGGATCTGAATAAAATGAGCAGACGGTGCCAGTTTGAAGGTGGGCAGGAAGACCACTCCCGGAAGGAAGAACACCTGGGGCAAAAGCCCCAAGTGGGGAAAAGCTTGGCAAGTTGGGGAGCAGGGAGAGAGACTGCAATGTCTCTGCGGTGGGAGGGCTGGACTCAGATGCGGGAGCCAGAGCCCGAAGAGCCTCGCAGGCCACGGTAAGGTGTCTGGATTTTATTGTTAGTGCAGTAAGGCTGGGGAGTTTTAAGCAAGGTGGTGGTTGGACCTAATCTCTGTTTTCAGAAAGAATGCTGGCTGTGTGGGGGAAAGGACAGTGGAGACTCTAAGTTAGAGAGGATGGTGGAGCGTGGAAGCAACAGACAGGGAAGAATGGGACTATCCAGGGCTGACGGGCTGCATGGAGGCGACATTTAGTTTGCGACCCAAACCAGGTGGGTGGTTGTGTTAAAGAGGCAGTTTGGTAGTTCAGAGTGGAGCTCAGAGGCCATGACAGGAAAGATAAGAATGTATGAATTGTCAGCACACATGTGGCATTTAAGCCTTGGGACTGAATGAGCCTATATTCTTGAGCTCTGAGACCCTACCACAGTTAGAAGAGAAGCCAGCAAAGGAAACAGGGACTGGCCAGTGAGGAGGAGGAAAATTTAAGAGTACGACGCCATAGACTGATGCTCAGAATCAAGGTTTTCAGGAAGAAGTGGTCAGTTGTGTCCTGCTCTGCTGAGAGGATAAGCCAGCTCAAGGCAGCGAGAGACCACTGAGTTCGGTGAGTCAAAAGTCCTTACTGACCCTCAGGAGAGTCGTCTGAGTGACAAGGACGTAGGCCTACCTGGGCTGGGCTCAGGAAAGATAGGAGGTGAGCAAGGGAAGATGGTGAATATACACAACTCTATAAAGTCTTGCATTGAAGGGAACCAGGAAACATGACAATAGCTGGATTATAAAACTTTTATTTGGATTCATTTTTTTTTTTATTCCCAAGGATTTATTTTTATTTAGAGAGAGAGGAAGACACACACACACACACACACACACACACACACACACACACACACACAATCAGTTGCCTTCCGTATGTGCCCTGACCGGGTATTGAACCCACAACCTTCTGGGGCATGGGAGGAGACTCCAACCAACTGAGCCACCTGGCCAGGGCTAGATTCTTGTCTTGCAATAGTATAGGCTGCACCTGAGCAACAGGTCACCTTTCTGATTTGTTTTTCAATCCTTTAGACATTTCTTCCATCAGAAACCTTACACATTGAATGATGTTCAAATTTCCCTTAGCTACTTCACAATTTATTCATTTATTTCCAATGTTTTAGAAATGTAAAATAATACAGCTGTAAATACAGACTACCAAGGGAGCCTGGAAGTACCAAACCTAGTTTCAGACGGCAGAGAGGCACTCAACTAAAACAGGAACTGAAGGTGTTTCACGGGAAACCCTAGCACGTGTGCTGGTACTGAGGACACCCTCCCCCTGGGATTACCGTCATGCTGGTAACTCAATGTAACAACATTCACAATGATCTTGGTAAACACTACTGTGTCACAACCCTATAGCAACACAGTGAAAGCTCCAGAGAAGATAAATGTAAAATGCAAATGAAGAAACTAGAATGGATATGTAGGCTTTTATTATGGCAAGCATTTCCATAACCATAAATCTCTTTTAAAACAAACAGATGTCCCAAGTATCTTTGTTAGTGATCCAAAATGAACAAAAATTAATAACATTAACTATACATGAACACATTTCAGTATATGAAACAAGTCTTCTGAAGTTTCTTTTTTTAAACATTGAGATCTAATTACATTATTTTCCAAATTAGAGTGACTAGCAATTAATGTGAAAACCATAACTGACATAGATTAACACACATGACATTTCACTTTCCAAGGTAAAGAAATACATTTGCACCTTGACTGGTTTGGCTCAACGGTCAGAGCATCGGCCTGCAGACCAGAGTCCCGGGTTTGGTTCCCGCTAAGGACATGTACCTTGGTTGCAGTTTGTCCCCGCCACAGTTGGGGTCATGTGGATGGCAACCAGCCAATGTGTGTCTCTCACATCAATGTTTCTCTCTCTCTTTTCCCCCTCTCTCCCTCCTGCTCTATCTGAAAATAAATGCAAAAATGTCCTCGGGTGAAGATTAAAAAAAATACATTTGCTTTAATAGTCTTATGAATCCCATTTGATGTTACAAAATAAACTTTACTAGAAACAATTTTTTTTAAATCTCAGAAAAAAAGACATTGAAAATAAACACATTGCATGCAAACAGTTTTAAAATACGGTCAGGCACAGAAATATAAGCACATCACTTAAACGTAGGAAATGCCGTAAAGCAAAGAAAGGGTCATCAAAATAGAGTAAGAGATATTCTGAAAGAAATGAAAAATCAAAATCATGAATAGTGGCAGCTATTTCTAATGTATAATAGCTACCGAAAAACCATGGGGAAAATGAACAGACTATTTTCTAAGGTGGTAATGACAAACAACAGAGGTGGCTTTAAAAATGCCGAGTTATAGCGAATTAACTTACCACCTTCTTCAAACAAAAGTGAGATGCCCTTAGGAGAATTTAAGTATCATTAGCAGATACATCTTAAGACGTTTCATAAAATGCTTTGTATTTTGGTGGAAAACTATTTCAATGGTGAAAATGATGTAGGAATCAGAAGCATATTCTGCTGAGATACCAGGTAATTGACACATTCCCGAACTGGAAAAAACAAAACAAACATATAAGAAGGCACATGAAGTTAGATGAAATCTAGTGTGTCCTAAGGGTAACTCATGCCCAGTGACATAGCTTACCAGCTGCCACGACTCTGGGGTCCTCATGAGCCAGATGCCTCCCGGCGGCACGACTGTCTGCACTCTCATTCCACCAGAGAACATGAACTATGGAGAGAAACCAAAAACAGATTCTAAAGCTTGTGGCATTGCTACAAATAAGAAATGTAGACACGTTAATCAGATATGTTAAGTCTTATTCTTTAAATCAAAATAGTGAGATTCAAAAAAGTAAAATTAAGTATGTTAGTGATAAGATTTCACACGGGTCAGAGATTTGGGGGGAGATATTTATAAACTGATTAACAAACTGGTTTTATAGATGAGACAGAAAGCTGGACAGGGGAAGTAAAGTAATACAACTAAAGGCATTGACAATCAAGACTGGACCCAGGTTTCATTACTTCCCACTACATTTTACTTTTTTGGAAAAAAGTAAGATTATAAAGAAAATTGTTTATTACTGAAAACTTGGATGATACAAAGAAATAAAAAGTAGCATAATTTTAACTGACCAGAGAAATCCTCTATTAATATTTATTGTATTTTATTTTAAAAATATGAGCAAAATAAAATTAGTCTTACTGTTACATGATGTATATGATGGATTTGTATGTCTATTTGTGTATTGTAAGTATATTATATGTACAAACCAAGCATGTGTCATGCCCATCGTTTCCAACGTTTTCTTACTGTAAACAATGCTGGCTTATAAATGTCCTTAGAATAGCACCTACATGTGTATCTGTGATAATAATGTCAAAGACAACTACTAACATTTATTGGGTACTTACTATGTCCAAGGCCTGCTTCACAGCATTTTGCATGATTTAACTCATTTAGTCCTAAAAATCTTGGCTGGTAGGTTATTATCAATCATCATCTTATCGATGAGCAAGGAAGGAACAGAGAGGTTAAGTAACTCATTCAATGTCACAAAGTTGTAAGTGGTGGAACTGAGATGCAAAGCTAAGCAGTTTGGATCTGATTATTTCATCAAAATAAACTCCCAAAATTAAAATTGAGAGGACAAAAGAGTATATCTAATACATACTTACATGTGTACTGATTTATACTCAGCATATGACTATTCTCCTATGCTGAGAATGACTTTAAGATTAAAAAGTGTACACACATTTTCTTCTGAAAGTTATTTCTTATAAAAGTCTATTACAGAAAAGTAAAAGAGACTTAATAAACATTAATCTCATCATTCAAATGACCAATATATATTTTACATCCTTTGAGATTTCCTCCCTATGTAACTAAACACACCTAACCTATGCATATTTCCTAGAATACTGGCAAAAAAAATTTTTTTTTTAAAGTTTTTAATTTATATTGCCAATTTTTTGGGGTGGGGAAGATTAAGTAATATGAACCCCACACAATATAAGTACTTATTTTTTCCCAGCCTATCTTACTATATCTTTATTAGGTTAAAAAAGATCTCATTATTGTTTTAATCTGCCTCTTCTGTATATATATTTAGTAGTCATCTGTAGGTCATTTCATTTTTAATTTCATTTATGGTGTTTTGGGGCATGCAGAAAGACTGAACCTTTTTTTTTAAAATATGTTTTTATTGATTTTTTTAGAGAGAGAGGAAGGAAGAGAGAGAGAGAAACATTGATGTGAGAGAGCTATATCTATCAGCTGTGTCCTGCATGCCTCCTGCAGGTGACTGAGCCCTCAACCTGGGCATGTGCCCTGACCAGGAATCAAACCAGGACCTCTCAGTCTATGAGACAACGCTCAGTCCACTGAGCCACATTGGCTAGGTAAAGACTGAACCGTCTTATAATAAAATCATCAGTTGATGTTTTTCCTTCATCGTTTCTTCATTTGTGTTTTGGCTTAGAAATATTGTTCTTATCCTTATTATTAAATAAATTCACCTATATTTTATATTTTAAATTCTATTATTTTTTACATTGAACTCTATAATTTATTTTATTTTAGCAAATGGTATGATATAGATATCTAGTAATTTTCAAAATTTTTCTCCTCTTCATATACTTTCCAACTTGTAAATTTTTTTTTCTGTATGTTCTGATTGTTTTCTTTAGATATATTAGTAGAATTTAAATTTCTGGATAAGGATCAAAAACTCAGCTTTGAATATGTTAGATTTTGAGATATCCATTTAACATTCAAAGAAGGAAGTTGAGGCAAATAGATAAACTGAGTCCCTCAAATATTTCATTAGCTATTCTTAGTCATTTACCCTTCCAGATGAATTTTACATACAATTTTTAGAGATTTCCACAAAAAATTCTTTGAAATTCTGACTGCAATAATTTTCAACTTTAAAAATTAAATGCCCCAAATAGGCGTTTATTAAGTAAGGTATATATACTTGTCTATGTCTCGTGTATATTCACACCGGAGTGTCAGAAAGTCATTATTCATCATGCACATGCATTATGTCTGGCATCTATATACATAAAATAACATTCTGGTCTTCTTATATGTATGAACAACATAGGATACAGAAACCAAAATGTTAACAGCATTATCTTTGAGCAGTGGGAAAGGTTTGTTTCTCCCTTAGGGCATGTTCATGTATTTCTAAAAATATGTAATATTTTTTCATTCAGAGACAATATCTTTACCCTAAGTAATGTTATTTTTTTTAAAATCAACAAAAGTATATTTATAAGGAAAAAGGATAAAAAGAACAGATATTTTCTTGAGGTTCCTTGAAGAGTTAAATTTTATCATTCTGATATATCATGGAAAACAACATTCAGCTTTTGAAACAGGCTTCATAGATGTTAACATTCTAAATAGATAAGAAGTAAAACAGGTTTTTTCAACCTTTAAAATGACAAAAGAAAAATCCTAAAAATGTGTCAGTAAAAATTAAAATATAGACCATAATGAAAAGGAGAGACAAACTGACCCAAGGAACTTAGTAGTTCACCAATATATTTTGCAATTTCATAGAAGAAATGGACAACTGTACCTCTGTTGAGTGCTCCATATTCTGTGTGGAAAACTCCAATCAGTTTTGAGTAGCCTAGATTGACATGGGCATTGATTGCCCGTTTAAATGTGTCACCCCACAGAGCCGGCCCACCTGGTTTCATCTGAAAAGTAACCAATTCATAGACTCCTAGGGTAGGAGAAAAAGAATTATTTTACAAAAGATATTCAAGACATTTGTAATCAGGTTAGTATGGTTACAGGGGAAGGCTAATGTACATATATAAATTTGGAGGATCATACATGTAGACATGTTTAGTGGACACATTTATGAATTTTTTGCATTAGTTTTCCTTGCTTTTATGTTTAGAAAGTCCTTGTTCATATTTAAGGGTCAAATGTTAAGCTTATCATACAAAGCCAAAAGGAAGCTATATCAAGCTATTATCTGAACTATTTTTAATCTATAAAATCTGTCAATAAAACAAATATTGAGAATTTGTAATAGGATTAGGGATTCTGAGCTGCCCTAGTCAACACTTTTAGGTAAGAAAAAAAGAAAGGTATTTTCTGATCTATATTTGCTTCTTTCTTCCAATTCTGAGAGAAAATACTGTTTTGCTTGTATAATTTCCCCCTACAGGCTTCCATTTCTAACAGGAACAGCAAGCAAACAGGACCCAGAGTGGTATCTGAGATTTTGAGGGGGGAAAAAACCACTAAAAAACTGAGAGAGACAGTTTCATTGTCCCTAAATGTCCAGGTAAACACTTGACAAGCATTTCACCGCTGGTAAGAAGGGTGGGGCAGGTCAAGAGAAAGAAGCTAGGGCACAAGCAGATCTGAGAAGTAAAAGGGAAGAAGTGTCAAGTCACTACGGGTATGAATGACACAGAGGAAGAGAACCAGGACTGGACCCCGCTCCAGAAGCCACTCATTTCGTTCAGACAGTACTGGAAGCTCAGGGCTCTCGGGGGGTCCGGATCCCAGTAAGACTTTTTAAATCTCTTGTTATCTACTATAACACTACAGAATTAGTTTATGCTTTTAAAAAATCTGACCTTTGTTTAAAACTAGGTTGAGGTATATATTTCCTTATAGTCAGCAAGAAAGTGAAATCAGCAAGAAGACAGATCTTTAGTAATTATTTTTGAACTGAGAAATAAGAAAGAAGAAAACAAAAAAGTTAAAATATAGTAATAGAGCTTAACAATTTAATTCAGCCCCCCGCCAGTCTTATAAGCAAAGACATACTTAATGTTTTAAGATTAGCTGTAATTTGTGTAAAAAAAATGCTGAACTATGACAAAATGTCACACATTATCCTTCATCTACCTATACATGTTTGCTCTAAATCCCCAACTTCTCTACTTTTACTCCTCATACCATGTCAATTTTTTACAATTATAGCAAAACGTTAAGCGCTTTTCCAAATTGGACAAACACTATTAATGCTCATTGTTTTATGAGGCGGAAAGAGCTCAAATTCATTTCATCTCTATATACACAATATATTCCTCTCTAAAACATAGGATTATTGTCATTGTTTTTTCTAAGTAGCTTTAGTTTTTATAGTTTCAAATCTTTAGTCTTTTCTACATTAAAATTCAAAGTGACTAGAGGGAAGGACTCACCTTCTTTCGGAGGCTTTTCTAATTTGCACCATGGTACGAGATAAGCAATCTCACTCTCTTGTTTATCCATAAGAGCCAAATTTGGAATGAGAAACTGTTCTTGCCATTCCTTATCTTTGGCCAAAGCTTTCCGAACTTCGATTCGATGAGCGAAATTATCTATGGGAAGAAAGGGAGTAAGAAAAATAAAAACTTTCTATTTAAAATCATCTAGACTTCTTTTTAGATCTCATTCAATTCAGCTAATGTTCATCAAGGCCACATAGGAACACTGCATTAAATCACTGCGATACTCCCTGCCCCAAGCAGATGTCACATCTGTCCCTAAGTTTCTCATGGCCGAACAGGGGGTGTAGAAATGTAAACAGCTAATGATAATGCCATAGAGTGGACTCTATAGGATCTACTCCTTAAGAGGTAGTTGTGTGATAGGTAAGTTATTGAATCTGTGTCTGTTTCTTTCTCTGTGAAATAGGGATATCTACACCCCCAGGGTTGTCGTGAGGATGAAATGAATTAGTATGTGAAAGGAGCAGAGAACAGTGTTTGGCAGCTAGTTAGCATTCAAAATAATATTAACTATTCTTATTACTTTAATTGAGACATTTATAGTCCCCGTTTAGGAAAATACTATTTTCCTTTGGTGGTTGTGATAGTGATGGTGGTCAGGTCCAGACACACCTTGAATTAAATTTAACATAAATAAAATCAAGATGCAAGTTTATAGCCCTGGCCAGAGTGGTTCAGTTGGTAGGGCGTCGTCCCGTGCACTGAAGGGTTGCAGGTTTGATTCCTGGTCAGGGCACATGCCAGGGTTCTGGGCTTGATCCCCAGTTGGGGCATGCAGGAGGCAGCTGATCAATGTTTTGCTCTCACATTGATATTTCTCTCTTCCTTCCTTTTTCTAAAAATCAATAAAAAATTTAAAAAAAAAAAAAAGATGCAAGTTTGCAGCCTCATCTTCTTTGAACAAATAGCTTCCAAAGAAATAGTGCTGATTCTCTTCCTTATTGTCTTCTATTGTATTACCCAGTACTATTTCTCTTCTATTTGTTACCCAAACACGTATATATATTTACTAACATTTGGGCCTAGTACTACATTTACTATTAGGGTTTCATAAGACTGATGGTAAAAGTTTTCCATGGTGTATGCTGTGGTTGAGGAATAACATCTACCTCAGAGCTTAAGGTAATTACCAGGACCTTATTAGTAATTGTTAAATGGAACACAGTTCTACCTGTTGCACACCAGAGCTTAAATTGTGTTTTCATTGTGTTTCCATTACAACAGGTAAAACCCATAAACTGTGGCCATGTTAGAGAATGAGCACCTTGCATATTAAACAAAGTACTTATATGACCAAACACTCAATGATATTATAAAAAGTTCTTTGGATATCATCAAGTCCTGATGTGGACTTCACCAAGGTTGGACACTGGAGTAACACACATTCTGCAGATTCCTGTAACCTCTTCTCCTTCCTCTAAACCAGGCTTAGGTCAGCTTCCACAGGGGGAGAACTCTGATTCCTTTGCCTTTACTTCCCTAGAGCAGCATAATGGCAGTGAATTCCCTGAAACCCTATGGTGTACAAATGAAACAAAAGTAGTTCCATAAACATAACAAACTATTAAATCTCAGAGCTGGGTGATACCTAGACGTTAACCATCATTCCCATCAGTCAACCTCTCCTACCCTCAAGCTCCTTAATGTCTCAATTGTTTCCACTAAAATCCTGATATCCAGCTGTAGTTTCAACGATAAAAATAACTCTCCCCTCCTTTAATGATCTTAACCCACTTGGGCTCTTAAAATTACTGTTTAAAATTTTTCACAAATCACCTTATCATTATCTATTTTATAAATTTTTTTCTGAGAATTAAAATCTAGTTCACAATTTTATGATGTGAACTATAAGATGCCATTTATGATAACATAAGGATTTGAGTAAGGGGTTGTTGGGAGGAGTAACCAATGAATTTGTTGTTGTTGTTCTGCGTTTTAAAAGTCTAACCTGTGTATATTTATAGTAATATAGATCCAAGAACTAAGTCACATGTAACATCTAACAGAATGAAACACTGTACTGAATACTTCAGTTGATGACTCATACCATACTTCCAAATATGAAATGCTTTATTCATTCTGCCTCCAAATTCTACACTCCAGTATCCAATCAATTCAGAGTAAGCTGTCCGAAGATGTGCATTTTTCTTAAAATTTTCCAAAAACTCATTCATCTTTGAAGGCTTAAGATAATAGGTACGAAATTCATAGAACGTTCCATCGTATTGTCTAGGTCCTGTAGAAAAAGATGAGTACACCTAAAGAGAGAAGGCAAATTCAAATATTTGGGGAAGGTAGAGTTTACAATATTATGCTACAACCAAACCTGAATTTGGAAACAAGGGACACTGATTAGACTCTCAGTCCATGTTTGCACCTCTGTTGTCATCTCTACATAGACATTTGTTTAAAGAGATGTCAATAAAGATAACTACTCTTAAGTATGCTGAATACATAGCTACTGTTTCTTAGCAGGGGTTCACCATTTCATGAAAAGTTAATCATAATGAGACACTGTGGTCTTATTCAGTCCTTTACCCAAGAACTATACTTAGGAGTCTAATAAATCTACACATTTTACCTTATTTAGCCAATATTCTATCTTTAGTCGATGCTATGTGTGTTATAGTTATGCACTTAAATGAACTTTATAAAATATGCAGGTGTTCTGGCAGGCATGATAAAAATGTTTACTAGCAGAAAACTCTTTATAAATGTTATAAAGGAAAAATCAACAGGCTGGAATAGTCTGAATCATTATTAGGTTTAATTATAGATGAAGCTGAAGAAGGGCATTTAATCCATCCAATGATACCCATTTAATTGAAATATACTTTAAGAACTGTTAATTCTTTTTATATTAGTTACATTCTCATTATATAAATATTTGTTCTAATTCAGTCTCCTTGCCAAGTTCGAGTGAACTTAACTTTAGGTAGGACATGTCCTGCCAGAAATTATCCTGTGTATTTATATGTGTGTATATACATACACAAGTATATGCGTGCGCGCGTGCGCGCACACACACACACACACACACACACAGGATTTGCATTTACAAATTCATCTTATTGTAGGTTTGGTTATCATGTGCCAATTTTCTGAAGCTGATTAATCAGAATTATCTATTAAAAGTTTTGGTACCAAGTAAGTTATGGACAAATTATATTGACTACCTAGTATGTTAAATGAAATCAGAAGACTTCTTTCTCTGACATATTTTTGGTTAAAACACATACAATTATCTATGTTTGTTATTTGTGTAAAATGTTATAATTCCAATGATCGATTTGAGTTCATTCCGTTCATGTCTACTAAAGTTATGTTCCGATTGCCCAAGTGTCTAAGCTTCCTTGGAAAGCAAGTATTCCCACCAAAAACAATTGCGGCTGCTACTACTTTTGGATGATATGCTTTCGGCGGCATTTTAACTAAACTCTAATAAGAGAATGTCATACAAACAACTACCTAGTATTATAGTTTTAAAAGTATTATAGATAAAAATATATTAAAACATGGGACAGTGGGGGTATTTGTAACAATTGCTTTTTAAGTTGAATCTCAGGGAATTTGTATTTGGAACCAAATATGTGGTCAAAGGTATGAAACTGAGGGTCCTTATGACTTTGATTAAATTTAGTTTTAAATCCTAACTTTAAAAATAATCTCTCTGCCTCGACCCCTCAGAGACCTACCCTTTCTCCCAATAATCTGCAACCTGGGAGGTAGCAGAAGACAGAAGCCCAGACCTGACTAACAGTCACAAGGTCCAGACCTCTGGCAGGCTAGAGATAACAACTTGACTTAAGTTTTGTTTAGTTCTTGGGCCCTAAGGTGGAACTACCCCCTGGCTAGTTTCCCATGAGAACAGAAAGAGGGACCACTGGAAAAAACCTCAGAGCTGTCCTCAAAACCTGAAGAAATGAATCATTAGCCTTACCTCACCCTGAACTACAAACCCCACCACGGACCCTGAACCCCTAGCCCTTGCTGTCTTGTGATTTTGCCCTAGGTGCTGCTGGGGAGTTCCAGGAGCTTCTGAACATTAGCTTCCTGTTCTCCTGGATGGCGCCATTCATGACAAAACAGGCATTTCTCCACTGCACTTCTTGGCTCCGCTAGCATGGGGTGGACAAACTCTGTTCTGTAACAGGTACATATTTTTTACCTTTTGTAGGAGAAACTGTAACAGGGGAAGCCCAGTGAAAGGTTAAACAGCAGTGAGATAAGTCTGTGTGCTCTTTGGTGGGAGGTGATTTTTGTTGTTATGTCAGAAAGCAGAACTATGCTGGGGAAGGATTCCTGAGGGATTCAGGCTCATCTTCCAAGTTCAGGCTCATTTTCGGCAGCAATAACTTTCAATTCACTTATGAGAACAGCAGGTCGACATTTAATAAAGTTCAAAATAAAGTTATAAGGAATAATTCTTGGCCTTGCCCCAGGAGATAATCAGAAGGATCAAGACCATACTGCTGATCTTGAGTGAAGGGGCCATTAATGGCTCTTCTTTAGCCTTCACCAGCAAGTCTGTCCCTAGGTTAAATCACTTCCGATCCTGGCCACAGAGAAAGGAGGCAAGTCGAAACAGCAAAAGGAAAAAGATCTCTGGTTATATCACAGACTAGACCAATTCCCAACATTTAAGGCTAAACCACAAAAATCTATTTTGTACATTACTCACCTAAGATTGAGTTTATTGTACAAGGTGGGGCAAAAGTAGGTTTACAGTTGTTCCCATGGAAAATTATATAATAATTCATAATACTCTGTTTCGCATACACAACTGTAAACCTACTTTTGCCCCACCCTGTATTTGCTACGAAATCCCTGACCCTAACTAGCTTGGACCCCGAGGGCAGCATACAGTGGGCCGCAGGCCTGGGCATGGAGTCGGATGGACGCATGCGCGGGGATCTCAGGTCTGGGCGCAGGAGCTCGGGAGGCGCATGCGCCCGCACGCTACCGGCAGCCGCCGCTCCCTCCCCCAGGGTATGGTTTGGGCACGTCGCCGCGGCCGGTACCTGAGGCGTCAAGGTCCGCGCGGCCAGAGCCCTAGTTAGGCCGCTGCGGAGAGTAAGCATGGCGCAGCTTGGAGCGCTGAGGAGGGCAGCCAGCTGGTACTCGACTAGATTCCTCTTCCTACAGCTTCGAGACTTAGAAAGAGAAGCCAGTGGACAGCAGGCGGACGCAGGCTCGGGGCGGGCTCGGCGGGCTTAGCTCCGCCTCCTGCTGCCGGCGGCGCGGCCGTCCCGCCCTCTGCGCAGGGCGCCCGCAGCCCGTCCAACCCGGGCGCGATTGGGGTCTCCGGGCCCACTTGGCTTCCGCCTTCGGTCCCTCCAGCCTTCTAACCCCAAAGCGGGAGGTGCCCTTGGGATTAGCGGGACGCTGAGGTCGCTCCCGCTCCGCCCTCTGGCCCGTCGCGTGCCCGGGCGCGTGCCGTGCACGTCGTCAGTGTTCGTGCGGCGTGTGCAGTGTGGAGCTGTGTGTCCGCCGACGCGGGTGTGGGTGCGAGCGTGTGCAAGGCTTCGCGGGGGGAATCGTGGAGGTTTGCCGCGTTGCACTTTATTAGGGACGATGCACATAAAGTCGAAGACCGGGGAGCCTTCGTTTTCTTCATTAAGGGCACCCTTCCCATCGCCCCCTCCACCATGACCTTGTGAGGCTCCCAATAATGATTTAGATTGTTTCTCAGGAGCTCAGGGAGATGGCGGCACCGAACTAGATATGAAGAAGTCCAATTTAAACATACATAGTTTGAAATAGTTTTAAAAAGTCTTGAAAGCAAAACAGCAGACTTCTGATGTTGTGTTCTTTGTCCCTAGTCATGGTCCCCAGAGTTAGCTACTTTCAGCATTTCAGCTGTTTCTTCTAAGGCTTGTTTCCTTTTTTCCCAAAGTATAGGCATTTTCTGGTATTTCTTGATATTTTTAGTTCTATAGATATATATCTGTTGCTTGGAAAATGAGAATTTAGGTCTCTTAACTATCACCCCCCCCCCAAATACTTTCTTTCCCCACATCTGATAATGCTTACTCTATTAAGAATAGTCAATTGCTACAGTAATTTACATTATATCAACGTTCACATTTTTCTTACTAATTACATTTTACACACAATACGCAGACACAAACCTGCAATGGTTATCACACACATTGAAGTAATACTGCCTACACCATTAAGACTGGTGAATTATTACATGGCCATCACCTGTGGTTGTGGTTGTGCCTAGTGCAGACTTATAATCACCTGTTCAGAGGAAGGGAGGCTTTTTGAATTAGTAATTCTCAGAGGGGGTAATTCAGTTTTTTCCAATGATTGGCATCCATTTCTAACCAAGCAAGACAAAACAAAGCATCATATGGCCCTGGCCAGTGTTGCTCAGCGGTTAGAGTGTCGGCCTGGGAACTGAAGAGTTGTGGGTTGGATTCTGGTCCAGGGCACGGACTTTGGTTGCGGTTCGTCCCTGGCTCTGGTCAGGTTGTGCCACAGGCAACCAGATGATGTGGCTCTATCACATCGATGTCTCTGTGTGTGTGTGTGTGTGTGTGTGTATCTCCCCCTCCCACTCTGTCTGATGATAAATGGAAATACTTTTCCTTCGATGAGTAATAATAATAATTTAAAAAGCATCATTTGTGCCCAGATGGGAGCTCTACGTTTAAATTTACTTTCTTAAACTGGAATTAACAATTCATTCTCACATTCAACCTATATTTATTAAATTCCTTCTATGCTTGCAACACTTTTCCGGAAACTGGGGTACAGACGTGAACAAAAGACAAAATCCCTGTACTGTTGGAACTTACAGGTTGGAGGAAACAAACAAATGAAAATATATCAGGGAATAATAAATACTATGAGGAAAACAAAGTAGAATATGGAGAATAGAAAGTGCTGGAGAAAGTCAGCAGAGACTGTTAGCCATTTTCCAATATCTATTGCCCTTTTATTTAAATTTTTTTTTCTTTATTGATTTTAGAGAGGAAGGGAGAGGGAGAGAGAGATAGAAACATCAATGAGAGAGAACATCAACTGGCCGACTCCTGCATGCCCCCCACTGGGGATCGGGCCCACATACTGGGCATGTGTCCTGACCAGGAATCGAACTGGTGACTTCTTGGTGCGTGGGTCAGTGCTCAACCACTGAGCCACACTGGCTGGATTCCACTACCCTTTTAAAAATTAGTCATAGAACCAGTGCAGCTCAATATATTCATGTGAGTAAGTCCTGGCTAGTGGGATGTGTTAGTGTATTTATGACCTATTGTGAGGATCTTACAGCAGTGTTGGAGAGTTTGTTCCTTTCTTATTTCTGCTTGCTAGAATGTGGATATGATAGCTTGAAATTCCTAATATGAAGTAGAAACCACATGCTGAAATGGCAGTACATCAAGAGAGAAGAAGCCTAGGTTCTGACACCATGGAACACCATACTAGGAGTCTTGGACTGTTCATCTCTGGACTTCTTTCACATGAGAAATAATCTAGTTTCAGCCACTACTGTATGGCTTAGACCTATAATCTTAATCAATAGGAGGGTGACTATTCCTCCTTTTTTTTTTTTTGGCTTTGTTTTCCTTAAACCTATCATTTATCAATCACCAATTTTTATTTTTATTTTGGCTAAAAGAATACATTTCTTCTCAGGCATTTTCCCCGCTGTGGTGAACTAGGGACCCAGGTTTCTTGCACCTGGTGGCTTTGCCATTGTGGAGCTCCATCATCAACAGCAGCCAGCCAGCACAAAGGTAGAATTTTCAAGATGAAAATATTTAACAGATAGTGAAGATTAAAGTTTATAACTGCAACTTAGAGTGGAAAATGTTGGTAAGTGGGGTTAGGTGTCTAAGATAAGCGTGTCTGCCTGTGTGTGTGTGTAAAACCTTTCTCACAGGTTTAATTATCTTCAAAACTCTGTGAGTTAGGCTTTGTCTCCAAGCAAGAAAGGTGAAATTCTGGGAGAGAATTTTCTCAGGTTCACTGTTGCTAAGTGGCATATTCAAGATTTAAAGCCAGATTGTAAAACCAGTTCCATGTACCATTTGTTATTTGTTTTTAAAAGATGTATGATCTCTTAGGTAATTTTAGATTTTTAGTGGAAAATTACCTCTAAAAAGCATTGAAAAGAAATATTTCTCTGTGACAAAAAAAAAAAAAAAAAAAAAAAAAAAAAAAAATTCCTAAAGTGATTGGAAGATATATAGAGTAAGCATTTTGAAAATTATTGTGTATATCCTAAATTTCTGACAGCTGATCCAAAGGACAGGTAGTCCAAAGGTAGATAAATCTGGATTATTAAAATAGGATAGCCCTGGCCAGTTTGGCTCAGTGGTTAGGGTATCAGCCTGCAGACCAGAGAGTCATGGGTTCAGTTCTCGCTAAGGGCAGTTTGTTCCCGGTCCTCGTTGGGGTTCTGTGGGTGGCAACCAGTCGATGTGTCTCTCTCACATCGATGTTTCTCTCTCTTCTTCCCTCTCTCCCTCCTGCTCTATCTGAAGATAAATGCAAAAATGTCCTCGGGCGAGGATAAAAAAATAAAATAAAATAAAATAGGTAATATGTGATATAGAGCAAAAGGGTAGTTATTTTAGATTGGATGCACTGAGGTGCCTTTCTAAGGAGGTAACAAGAGACATGCGTCATAAGTACGAAAGTATAAATAATATATATCTATACACTTTAAAGAAGAAGAATAAAGTGAATGTCTGTGACCCTGCCACCAAGCTTAAGAAAAGTAGTAACTTAAAAACCCAATATATGTTCCTTTCTTGGCACATTCTCCTCCCTATAGTACCCTCCCTAACCTTCCTTAGGTAAACATGATCCCAAATTTTATGTTAATCATTTCATTCTTTTTTAAAAATTTAACTACATTTGTATATAACTATAAACAATATATTGTTTTGTTTTGCCTTTTTTAGAACTTTCTATAAATGGAGTCAGACTATCATTCTGTCACTTGATTCTTAGCTTTGACATAAGGTTTTTGAAAATCATGTACTTTGATGCAGTCACAGTAATTAATACATTTCCCTGCTGTATGCAATTTCATTGTATGGATATATCTTTATTTGTCCATTTGATTATTATAGACAAAGATATTTTGAATGTTTAAATAGATATTTCTTGTTTCTATTAAAACTTTTTAAAAATATCCTCACCCGAGGACATTTTTTTGCATTTACCTTCAGATAGAGCGGGAGGAAGAGAAGAAGAGAGAGAGAGAAACATCCATGTGAAAGAGACACATTGACTGGCTGCCACCCACACAACCCCAACCGGGGGCGGGGACAAACTGCAACTGAGATAGAGGTACATGCCCTTAGTGGGAACTGAACTCGGGACTTTCTGGTCCACAGGCTGATGCTCTAACCACTGAGCCAAACAGGCCAGGGCTATTAAGACTTTTTTGTGCCATAAAATTATTTTGAAATTTTATGAGCTTATGGAACCCTAATAGGTTTAAATTTAAAAAAAAGTTTTTTTCTATTTATCTTCAGATAAAGTGGGAGAGAGCAAGAGAAAGAGGGAGAGAGAGAAACATTGCCGTGGGCGGGACAGATCAGCTGGTTGCCTCCCCCACGACCCTGACAAGGGCCAGGGACGGACCTTAACTGAGCCGCAATTGAGAAATGTGCCCTTGACCGGAACCGAACCCATGACTCTTTGGTCCATGGGTTGATGCTCTAACTGCTGAGCCAAACCGGCCAGGGCGGAACCCTAATAGTTTTATGTGGTTAGCAAATGCATAGGGTTGCAAAGAAAACAGATTGTATTGAGCTAGAATCATCAAAATATACAAGTAAATTCTTCCTGACAAAGAAATAAACATGTTTCTTTATTAAAGCACTAAATAACCTATCATTGGACTTAACAGCTATCATAATTTTAGATATTTGCAACAACTCTGTTTTTTTTGTTTTGTTTTCTTTTTATCCTCACCCGAGGACATTTTTCCATTTTTTGTTCAGGTAGAGTAGGAGGGAGAGAGAGGAACAGAGAGAGAGAGAGAAACATCGATGTGAAAGGAACACATCGAGTGGCTGCCACCCGCACAACCGACCAGGGCCGGGGACAAACTGCAACCGAGGTACGCACCCTTAGTGGGAACCGAACCCGGGTCTCTCAGGACCGCAGGCCGACGCTCTAACCGCTGAGCCAAACCGGCCAGGGCTGTGTTT